GGAATAAAATTGTAAATCGTATGTCTGACATACTGTTATCCTTCATCCTCTAGCAAAAATCCACAAGCGAGGGTAATTTATATGGAAAAGAAATGTGTTTATTATAGGCTGTAGTAGTCCCCTTTGATGCATCTGGAATCCACATCCAAGCATGATCTCTTACATCGTATAGTGCCCGTCAGGGTACTTGGTCTTTTGTGATGCTCATCACCAACTCCGATGAAACAGGAGGGCAGGCGATGGTGTGGGTCTTTTATCATCAAAGAAAAAGGGAATTGACCCACTTTTGGTTACTCCAAGATTCCAGGCCAGACTCTGTCTTGTCAGCTATTTGATATGACACACAAGAAATGGTCGCTTTAATTATGTAACACGTCATAAAATCTTAATCTTAGAACTCTTGTCATGGGCCTCGGGAATTATTTTGCTTTGGTTCGATTTTTTTTTTTAAATTCGGTGAGTTGAGTGTGTGTCCAGCTTTGTTAAATATTGTTGCATAGCATCATTTTCACCCTTTGGGTTTTCTTTCATGGATCTGTTCATTCAGCTCATCTGGTTGAACTGAATGTGTGAGGGAACGAACCAAAATCACCACCATGCTCACAATCCCAGGCTTCACAGAGGCTCAAAGGACTTTTGCCCAAAGGCCATGGGTACAGAAGTTTCAAAAAGGAACCGTAGGTAAATTTGTAGACTGTGGGAAGGAACACAGAAGGTAGTTGGCCGGCTGCCACTGGAAGGGAGCTGCAAGGGAGGTTAGAGAGCCACCATCTGGGGCACCTGGGTGGCTCAGTCGTTGGGCGTCTGCCTTCGGCTCAGGTCATGATCCTGGGGTCCTGGGATCGAGTCCCTCATCGGGCTCCCTGCTGAGCAGCAAGTCTGCTTCTCCCTTCACCCTCTTCCTTTGTCATCCCTCTCCGTGATCGCTTTCGCTCTCTCTCAAATAAATAAATAAAATCTTGGGAAAATAAAAAAAAAAAGAGCCTCCGTCTGCTGGCTCCTGTTGAAAGCTCAGGAAGACCGCTTCGGTGGTGAAGTCCTCCATGGATGCTCCCCAGGCTCTTCAGTATCCAGTCTGTCTGTGGCCCTGCATCTTCGTTTCAGAGCCCACTCTCCGCCCTCTCGGTACGCATTTCTTTTCTAGCAGATGCCTGGTATTCAGTGAGAAGTGCAGCTTTGTGTCTTTTTTGTGCAATTAAGTTTAAGCTAAACTACTGTGCTTAATTGCATAAGAGGCAAGCCCTGGTGCGACCGCAGTTGACCCCTGAGGAGGGAACTGGGGGTGCGTAATTTTATGTCGTGAGTGGAGAACGTGGGGCTCAGGAGAGGGCTCACGTGCAGATACTTATGTTAAATGTCTCAGTCCTCTGTCTCTCCCCGGGTGCCAGGTGTTTTAAGTAGAATGTTCTACCGCAGGTAGCCCGTTGCATGCTGTGTTGGATTTTGTGTTTGTTTTCTTCCCTCTCTGCTCCTTCACGCTGGAGGCTGCAGAGAGCAAGAGACCCTGTTTTATTCACTTTGCAACCCCGTCCTAACACAGGGCTCGTGCAGAGGCAGGGGGTGCTCGGTGGATGGTGGTCCACGGAAGCGGCACTGTTCCTCATTCTCTCGCTTTATTTGGGCAAAGGGAAATATCTATGAACTGGGGTGGGGCGGACTGTGAATTCACGTCGATTGTTTCCTGCTGTCCCCGGAGAAAAGCGCTGTCTTCGAGGGAGTCCCGCACTTGCTAGCGCAGTTTAATAACGGGTATGTCTATGCCCGGGTTTTTCTTGTTCTTAGAATTCCCTCTTCTGTTGAGGGAGTCTCCTCCCTGCTTCGGGGATGGATGCAGTGCTTTCTGCTTCGTAGTGGGAAGGAGCTCCTTAGCAGGGCTCTCGGAGGCCCCCCGGGGGTGGTGGTGGGTGGAGTTGTGCGGTTTTGACGGCATGTGAGTGGAGTTGTGCGGTTTTGACGGGGGCGGGGGACCGGCTCAATTGAAGCCATTTCAAGAAGCGGCTCCTTTCAGTGAGGGCAACAAGGAGTGTCTTGTTCTGTCCTCTTGAGGCTCCGTGAGGGGCCGCCGTGTCCAAGGGATGCCATTAGCATCCAGGCAGCGTGCGTCGGGGGTGAGAGGTTTCATCTGGACTTCTGGAAACTGGCTGCAGGGTCAGGCCGTCCCTGAAACGGGCCACCGGATGCCAGAGGCGGGCTGTGCCTGAGAAGTGACGCGAAGGGCGGCGGATGGCAGTGAGGGCCACGCGGAGGTGCGCGGGGAGGCGAGGAGGAGTCCGCCGTGGTTGGCTGTGGCGCATGGGGGCGCGCACGGGCCTCGTGGGTTTCTCTCGCAGAGCGGTTCTTCCATCTGTCAGGTCTTACGTAGTGTTCAGCTGCCTTCGTGCTTTGGAAATTCCACGTGAGCCCGAGAAAAAAATAGATCTTATCCGATGAAGAGATGATATCAAAGATTTAAGTGTTTGCTTAGGATCATTTAAAGGAGGCTGTGCTTTGTATAAAGTACTCGCTCCTTATAAAACCGCGCTACAGCCCTTGTGTCCTGTAGTCGAGTTTTTTTTTTTTTTTTTAAATTTTTTTATTTATTTGACAGAGAGAGACACAGCGAGAGAGGAAACAAGCAGGGGGAGTGGGAGAGGGAGAAGCAGACTCCCCGCCGAGCAGGGAGTTCGATGCGGGACTCGATCCCAGGACCCTGGGATCATGACCTGAGCCGAAGGCAGCCGCTTAACCGACTGAGCCACCCAGGTGCCCGTGTAGTCGAGTTTTTAAAAGCAGGCAGTACCATCCGTGTGTACCTCAGTTGTGCACACGACTTACTCCTTGACACTCCCGCGTGCCTGGGGCCCAGCCTCGGTTTCCGAAGTAAGTCTGTCTTTCAGCACACTGCGGTTTCCGTCCTCCCTGACCTCCCTCATTATTTTGTGAGCACCTGCTAGGGAGCACCGCCTTTCAGGCCGCAGACTACCTGGCTTATCTGCTGACTCCACCACTTAGCCCTGCCACCGGGAGCAGCTGCTTAACCCTCCAAACTTCAGCTTCGTTCCCTGAACAATACAATGGAAATAATAATGTTACTATTTAATTTCCAAGATTGTTGTAAAGATTAAATTCGATGGCACTTGAAAAATACAAAAAAGCACCGTAGCTGGTGCGTAAGTGCTCCATAACTATTTAGAACAAGACCCAGGTCCTGCGCTCCTGAAGTTTATGGCCTAGTGGGAGAAACAGACGAGTGAGGACATGAGGGGCAGTGCGATTCCTTAGGTTGACAGATGGTTACAGGCCTCCGTTACGTGCCGGGCAGTGTTGGAGACAACACAGGCTTCCAGCCGGCCAGCAATGTGATAGTGCTGTGCAGAGGGGTGCATGGGAGCAGGACCGTCAGACTGGTTGGCGATGGGGGTGTGGGCTCCCGCATCCGGGGAGGCCCCCTGGAGGAGGTGAGGCTTGTGTTTTCAGAATTGAGTGGACGTGCTGAACAAAAGTGGACATACCATAGGATTCCATTTTCATAAAGCATAAGACAGGTGGTGGTGGTTCCCTTTGTGGGCGGTTATTGACGGGAAAGGGACGGAAGGTGTTGGGTGTGCCTGTGAAACCACTCACACCTCTGTATACCCTTAAGATCAGCGCAGTGTTTTATGTATGTTCTTCATTGATGAGTGAGCGAGCATAATGGGTAGAAACAGAGGGAAGGTCCTACTTGAGAGCGAGAAGAGCAGGCGGGGAAGGGTGTGGAACAGCGTGGCATGCCCCAGGCCGGCAAGCAGTCTGCTCTGCCCAGATGGAAGGATACCTGAGGGGTGGTGAAGATGGGGCAACAGCGAGAAGCACCTTTAGGTACAGGCTGTTACAGGAGAAGAAAAATTTTTTTCAAGCACTGGGCATAAAGGTGTCCCTTCCTAAGTAGGCGGAGTGCAGAGTCAAAACTCACCTTGGTTTGGATAGCTTGCCTCAGGACCTCCATGCAACCTTCTCATCCTTTAAATGGGCTTTTGGAGAATGACATGAAATAATGGATGTCAAGTGCTTGTATCTGCCATGTAGTATGGATTTATTTTTTTTTTTTTAAGATTTTATTTATTAGAATACGAGCGAGGGTAGGGCAGAGGGAGAGGGTGAAACAGACTCCTTGCTGAGCAGAGAGCCCGATGTGGGACTCCATCCCAGGACTCTGGGATCATGACCTGAGCTGAAGGCGCCCCTGTAGTATGGGTTTAATCAGTGCTCCTTAGGAGATTTTAAAGTGTGTGTGTGCGCCTTATTTAATTAATTGCAATCCTGATACTTGACTTTCCAAATCAAAAACTGGGGATAACTGTATTATGGAATAATGCTTATCTGAGACTTCTGATCCTTTAGTTAAATAATTATTCTGTTTCATGTAATTATAGCTTAATATTATTTAAAAAGTCTCAGTTGTGTTTTTCCTTAAAAATTTTTTTGGCTCTGTTCATTAAGTCCTTTTAATCATTTGGGAACAGTCTGAGAAAGTTCAAAGAATTTCTGTTTATTTCAGTAAGGCTCATGTTTGGCAATCTCAGCTGTAAGAGGAACTAAACAACTTGAAATATGTCTAGATTCATCTTTTCTGAAATGGTTTGAGTGTAGGGGGAGGAAGAGAGAATGTGGAGAGACTGATGTACTCGAATTTTTTAAAATGAAATTTGCTTTTTTGAAATGTTAAATCAGATTGAGTATACTAAATATCTTTATGTGATTATGTGTTGGTGTAATCAGCTCTTTATTAAAGGTTAAACTGTCCTGTGAGAAATTCCATTTAATCAATAATTAGCCAAATTCATTCCCAATCTTTTTAACAGTAATAACTAGCGTTCAGCGTAGATTCCCCAGATTATCTTTTTCAAATAACTCATACCCCCCTCTTCTAAAAGGCCAGCCCCCTAACTCTCCAGGGAATCTCGCCCATTTTCTGGGAACGGCTTTGCATGCTTTGTCCCAGCACCTTGAATCTCTCAGTTGGATTTGCCCTCTGTGTTTAGGAGTGAACGGGCCCGCTGGATAACCGCCCTGGGACACAGCAGCGGGAAGCAACCTCTGGACCGAACCTGTAAGTACCTGGAGGGCGGCCGGCGCTGGACCGTGGAGGGGCTATGCCCCCTGCTGGATGCTAGGTTGTTAATGGTTATCCACCACAATCCCTGCTCCGTGTGTTTCTTGTCCAAGCGTTCGTTCCTGTCGCCCTGCATCACAGAACCCTGTGATCCCTGCTTTGGAAGCCAGGGGCTCTGGATTCAAATCCAAGGTGCAGTTCTTTGTCGTGTAAACGTGGCAAATCATTGCAAAGCCTTCCTGAGCCTGTTTAATCATCTGTAAGTCAGCTGCATCATTATATACAATACGGGGTTATTGTCAGGATTAACTTAAACAGCCTGTGTTGAAAGCCCTGCTTGTCCTGTAAAGCTCTTAGATTTTCAGCTGTTGCTAATGGGCCAGAGTTGCATGTTTAAGCCTTTTCCATACGGACAGTGTGAATCTCAGCTGAAATGTTATTTTTTTTTAAAAAAGATTTTATTTATTTATTTGACAGAGAGAGACACAGCGAGAGAGGGAACACAAGCAGGGGGAGTGGGAGAGGGAGAAGCAGGCTTCCCGCGGAGCAGGGAGCCCGATGTGGGGCTCGATCCCAGGACCCCGGGACCATGACCTGAGCCGAAGGCAGACAGACGCCCAATGACTGAGCCACCCAGGCGCCCCTGAAATGTTATTTTTTAACCTTAAAGAAGATTACTTTACCATTCCTTTTGACCTTATTTATTAAAATGATAATATGAAGAAAATGTATTTTATTCTTCTAGGGCATTAGGAATGGTGCAGTAAAGGGTGGTGTCCTGTGCTTATTAGCCCCTTAACTTTGATGTTAGGCTTCTCTGGTTATTTCTAGCTGGAAGGTCAAATCGAAAGAACCAGGGCAGCAAAATTGGTTATCTTGGAGCCCTCAAAAATCATAGCTTTAAGCTTGGAGCCAAAGCTAAAGTGATTGGTTTGAAAGTTTCCTAGAATCAAGTTCTATATTATTAAAAAACAAATTAGGAACTCAAGTCAGTCAGTACCAAGTCACTGAAGTTATAATCCTTTTGTTATGATTCAGCATTTTGGGGGAACTCTAAAATGTTGTCTAACTTTTGGTTGGAGCTCCTTTTATTTCGGAACGTCTTTGGCAGCTTTCGTGTGCCAGCGGGCTGGGGAGGCCCCCTGGATGGGAGTGGGGAGAATGGGTGCACTGCGGATGTTACCCGATCTGTCTGGCCTCAGTTTCCCCAATGCACAATGGCTGTTGTTTGCTCTATTGTGTATAGCTTGTCACGGCTGTTTTTGAGGGGATTCGTGCATCACAAAAGGCCTCTCTGGATCCTGAGCTTCTAAAGTTCTAAAGCTCTTTGCCAAATAAGACAGTTCCTGGAACAGAGTTTCTGCTTGATAGACGTTTAACTTGTTTCTGTCAATGCCGGCCTTGAATTGCACAGAAAGACCGAGTAAATGTATTTGATTTGTACCTGTTCTGTTCTCCTCTGCTACCGGGAGCTCAGTGTGTGCCCCCCTGTCCCTCGCAGCACTGACCCAGGTGGAAATCATTAGATCGTTCACTGCCAAGCAGCCAGATGAACTGTCCCTGCAGGTGGCGGATGTGGTTCTCATCTATCAGCGGGTCAGCGATGGTGAGTGGGGGTTTTCAGGGGCGCGCCCGGTGCAGCCTTCGGGGCGCCATAGAACGGAGGAGCTTCATTTTGTTTTTAGTGCTCATCCTCCATATCCCTTTGGTTTTTTCATATGCACCTGCCTTTCCTCTGTCAACACTATTGCTTTTAATGTTTTTGAATAAGAATGCAATCAGATGGTATATTATTCAAAAACAACCTTGAATAGTTTCCCTTCCTTCCTAGTGCCCCAGTGACTTAGTGCTAATCTTCAGAGGTTCTTCCTTCTTTACTTAAAAAAAAAAAAAATCAGTTTCCTGATGCCTCTGTCTGTGCACAGCATCCCCTCCCCCAGCCTGGCCCAACTCCCGGGCTCTTCTGAGCCTTCTCCCTTCAGGGCTCCAGTTGGTGTCCCACCTCCTCTGTGTCATCCATTCCTTCTTGAGGCCCTTCCTGCTGTTCCCGTGTCTCCTTGCCTTCCCTCATCCGTCACGCACAAGCTGGGGTGGGATGCTGCCTCTGAAGCTCTCTGACATCCTCCCCGGAGCCAGGCAGGGTCCCGGTTCCTCCACACCCCTGTTGCTTCAGGAGGACTCTGCTCTCGTTTGCAGGCTGGTATGAGGGGGAACGGCTGCGAGACGGAGAGAGGGGCTGGTTTCCTATGGAATGTGCCAAGGAGATAACCTGTCAGGCTACAATTGACAAGAACGTGGAGAGAATGGGACGCTTGCTAGGACTGGAAACCAACGTGTAGCCGCCCCCCCCCCCCCCCCC